GCCCCCACCCCCCGCCCCCCCCTGCTCCCAGCCCCTCAGCCCCCCACCCCCCACCCTGCTCTGGCAGCGGCGCCTGCAGTGTCTCTGCGGAGTCAGTGCCGGCTCAGGGAGCAGAGCCCCCGCCTGATTGATGACCGGGCTCCAGAGTCCATCGCTCACTCCCAGGCCTGGCCACCGCCTGCCTCCCTGCATCCTGATTTCCCAGGCAACAGGACAGAGGAAGGAAGTGGCTATTTTTGCTATTGGGGAGGGTGGGGGTCGGGAGTTCTATGAGGCATGGAGGGGCCCTATACGCAGGGCAGGCACCTGCCTGTGCATGTCTAGGAAGATCACCCTTGCCACTCAGGCTGTTCCTGCGCCCTGCAACTAAGGGACCCGAGGCTCCACCGGGGTCATTTCTTTGCTGGAAGGCATCGTCTTTAGAAGGCCAGAGCCAACACACGGCCACGGAGCTCATTCATCAGAGGGTCACCCATTAGCACCCCCAGATGAGAAGCTCAATCTCAGCGCGGATTTGGCCAGACCTCAGAGGGAAGTTCTAAGGCCACCTGACTTATCAGGCTCAGCTCACATTAGTTGCTACCACCTGTGACCAGAGAATGTCTCTCCCATCACCGGAATCCCAGACAGGACATTGCCAGTCAGCCGCAGAAGCTGGATTTGAACCCAGATCTGTGAGTTCCAATCCAATGCCCTTTCCTCTGCTGGTGTTAAGAGCTGGGACTTTGGGGCCACGCTGCCTGGGTTTGAATCCTGGTTCTGCTAGTGACTGAGTGCTCAGTGACCTTGAGCAAGTTACTGAGCTTTTTCCAGGCCTCAATTTTTTCCCGTGTAAAATGAGATCATAATCCAAGCCTCTTAGGGTTGTTGGAAAATTGAGTTAATATGTTTAAAGCACTGGTGCATAATAAGTTCTTGGAAGGTGTTAGGTAAATTAATGAAATGTCGGAACCCACTGTGCTGGGAGGCAGGAAGTCTAGGTGTGCAGAACCTTTATTCTGGAATTGCTGAGCAGCCAGTGTGGCTTTACCTTTTCCACCTGTAGGCCAGGGTTGGTCTGGGTCTGCCAGGTCCCTGCTGAGTCTTGTAGTTGAATGACCATGTGACGACCTTAGGCCTTCCCAGTCCCCTCCTGGAAGCAGCAAAATCCCAGTTGTCTCCAGCCCATTAACTGGCACTCTGCTCCTTCCCCCAGCGCCTGGACTTCGAGTCCCAGCCAGTGCATACCGTAGTCCTGGAAGCCCTCAACAAGTTCGTGGACCCCCGCTTTGCCGACCTGGGCACGTTCCGTGACCAGGCGATCGTGCGCGTGGCTGTGACCGACGTGGACGAGCCCCCCGAGTTCCGGCCGCCCTCCGGCCTCCTGGAGGTGCAGGAGGACGCGCAGGTGGGCTCCCTGGTCGGCGTGGTGACGGCGCGGGACCCGGACGCCGCCAACCGGCCCGTCCGGTGAGACCCCCGCCCGGGGCCGACGCCTGCTGCCTGCTATCCCGCCCGCCATCGCCCCATGGACACACTGCGGGCAGATGGGAGGAGGGCTGGGGGCGGGGAGGGGAGGAGGAGACACCTGGGGGAGGGGGAGACAGAGATGCGCACAGAGGCAGGGAGCCGAAGAGCCAAGGAGTGAGATCTGATGCAGAAGAAGAGACAGAGGAGTGAGGACAAGAAGGGAGAACCAGCTGAGACAGACAGCAGAGAGGCTGAGCTCAGCCACACCTGGGACTACTAGTTCCTCTGGTCCTACCTTTTTCTAGCATCATCTCTCCTTTACCTCCTCTAGACCTCAAACTTGCCATGACCAGATAAGTTTTCTGGTCTCTTCACAAAAAAAAAAAAAAAAAAAAAGAAAAAGAAAGAAAGAAAGAAAGAGAGAGAGAGAGAGAGAGAAAGAAAGAAAAGGAAAGAAAGATAGAGAAAGAAAGAAAAACATCAATTTTTCTAGAGTCCTTCCCAGCTCAGCAATAACAACTCCATCCTTCAGATTGTTAAGGTCAAAAATGCTGGAGCCATCCTTGATTCCTCTCTGTCACACCTCCTGCAGATCTATTAGCAAATCCTGTCACCTCTCCCCTAAAACTTGTCCAGAACCTGACCACTTCCCACCCCCTCTGCTGCTGCCACCCTGGGCCAGGTCGGCATTTTCTCTTAGCTGGATTGCCACAGTTGTCCCCCAGCTTCTGTCCTCGCCCTTCTTTAATCTAGAATTGATATAGGTGCCTGGAGCCAGGCCAGTTTGCTCAAAGGACCTCCAAAGGCCCCTGCTGAGCTCAGAATAAAAGGCCAAGCCCTGAGCCAGGTAGTGTATCCTGATGCAACTGGGCTGCATGGGAGAGGTCCTGGGTCTGCATCTCCAGACCTCCCTGAGGATGCTGGGCATGCAGGTGCTTGTGAGCTGAGCTGGCTAAGCTGGGGGTGGGTCTTGACATGAAGACCCTGTTGGGGTTCCCTCACCCCACCCCCACCCTGTCTCTGTCACGGGAGAAATAAACTTAAAAAATTTTAAAAAGCCCTAACAATGACCACAGGCCTGTGGGCCCTGGCCTCCCTGTGACCTCTCAGGCATCCCTCCACTACTCTGCCTCTCATTGTCCACTCTGATGTGGCCACAGTGGCCTCCTTCTGACTCTGCAGATACACTGGCTCACCTCTACACCAGGGCCTGTGCTTCTGCTAATCCCTCAGCCTAGAACAACTTTCCCTTAATAGCCTGCCCACCATGGTTCCTTCTCACAGCTCCTTCAGGACTTTGCCCCAAAGTCACCTCCTCCATGAGGCCTTCCCTGATCACTGTCCCTGTAATGTCAGCCCCACCCCAGCCCTCAACCCTGACGCTTCTTATCGCCTTTCCTCATTTTACTTCTTCCCTCATCGGCCTTCATCCCCGGTTAACACGTACCTCAATTTCTGATTTCATCTTTGTTCCTCCCACTCGAAGGTAAGCTCTGTGAGGGTAGGGATTCTTCTCTTTGTTCATGATTGAGGCCTGGGGCTCGGTGGACACTTCTGAATACTTGGCAAATAGTGAGCTATACAAATAGAGAAAGACGAAGGAGAAAGAGAGAAGCCCCAATGCACAGAGGTGTGGAGACCAACAAAGAGAAAGGAATTGGAGACAGAGAAGAGCCCATGGGAGGGTGCAGAGGGGCCTGCCTGCTGGCCCAGAAGCAGAGTGGGAAGGCTTGGAGAGGAAGCCGACACAGGACAGACAGGCAGAGCGGGTGTCCCTGGAAGGATTTGGGAGCTGCAGGGGTTGGGGAGGCCCTAAGAGTGGCCTAGCTTGGAGGAAGGTCAGAGGTTGAGGTAGAAATTGATCCAGAAGAGCAGGTCAGAGGCAAGAGGAGTAGCCTGTCCAGGTGGGTGAGGAAGAGGCTCTGGGCTCCCCGCCTCCTTCCTAAAACCCCTGTATGTGGCCAATGAGCCAACTGTGAGCGGTGTGACTGGCTTGTGATGGGCATTCAGAGAAGGGGAGGGGCCTTAGCGTGAGGCCCTCTGCATTGTATGGTTCCAAGGGTAGCGTTGTCAGCAGCGTCTGTCTGAATGGCTCGCTCAAGGCTGTACAGTGCACACAGCCTGTGCAACCTGACGTGGCAGCCGGAGGCGAGGAGGCGCAAAGATGCCGTGGGCATTCTGTTTGACTGCCGTGGGCTCTCAGACTGGGCAATAGCCACCCAAGGGGTTGGAAAGACCTCCTGAAGGAGGCAGAAACTGAACTGAGATGGGTGTCGGGGTCTGGTCAGGTGTAAATAGGAGGAAAGGGCATTCCAGGTGGAGGAACAGCCTGTACACATGTGCAGAGGCAGTGGAGGGCTCGGTGTGGCTGGAGAAGAGCAGACGGTGAGTGTATAGTGGACCGAGGGCGAGGAGGCACAGAGTGAGACCTGGTAGGGCCTAGGGACCTCCACGGCAGGCTGAAAACTTCAGGTCCACGAGGAAGCCCAGGATGCCTGTGCTCCGACCACCACACACACTGCCAGGACCTTCTGCCACTGCCTCTCACCCCCTCCATCCACCTCCCACCTGCCCGGGCACAGTCCTTAACCCTCCCCTTGGCCTCTGGCCTGACTCCAGACCTCTGCCAGGAAACTGGGACCCCCAGAGGAGCAGCAGTCTGCAGGCTCTCACGGGGAGGGAGTGGAGAACCAGGAGCAGAGCTGAGTCCTTGGCCCCAGGTCAGTCCTCCTGCAACGGCTCCCTCCTCCCTGTCCCCCCTACCACACTCTGGGGGGGGTGGCATCCCAGTCTTCTCCCTCCTCCCTCCTGTGGCTCCCCTCCCTCCTGCTTTTATCTGCGCTGAAAGGGCCGACTTTGAAAACGGGCTTCTCACCTCCTTTCATCTCTCTCTGCCGGCCCCTTCCCTGGGGCTCCTCAGATGTGGAGACAGTGAGGAGCCTGAGGCAGGTCCAATTTAACACCACAAACATTTACTGACTCCTCCTTCACGCAGGCCTTGAGCCAAGCTTGGGGAGGCCAAGATGATTCAGCCAAGGGCAGAGCTGGGGTGCAGCTCCCAGGCTGGGAGCCACCAGCCTGGGAAGGGAGCCCAGCAAGGGATGGTGGGAGTCAGAGACAGGGTTCTCGTGAGCCACATGTGACTCCCAGAGCCAGGCTTGCCTCCCATCTCCCCGGTCCTAAGGGTCATTGACCAGCCAGTAGCCACGCATCTGGTCACATCTGGCACTGTCTTACGCAATGGAAAACAGAGATAGTAAGATGAGATCCCTACCCGCTACCCCCATGGAGCTGCCTCTCCTAGGGAAACCGTCGGTAAATAGGCCCAGACAGTGTTGACCGACTCAAGGCACGGTTAAATGGGACAGTTGCTGATAAGAGCTGTGAAGGAAATAAAGGAATGGAAGAAGGAAGGCTTGAGGCCACTGTGCTTTGAGCAGTTAGGGCTGTGATAAACCAGCCCCATCAGAACAACAGAGAGCTGACCAGGCAAACGTGGGGACGAGCACTCCAGGTAGAGGGAACAGCAGACGCAGGGGTCCCGAGGCAGGAACAAGCTTGGCATGTTCCTGGAAATGAAGAAATGAAGTGGAGTGAGGGGAGACCTCACCTAGTACAATGTGGGTACACAGAAGGTACCCGAGGAATACAGAAATGTAGGTGGTCCCCAATGACTTTTCTGAGTCTCTGCAAGGGGAGCTGGAAGGACCTCACATTTTTGCCTGGACTCCTCTGGACGTTTGAGCCTCATTTTGCAGGTGAAGAGACTGAGGGTCAGAGAGCGGGAGGGACTTGCCCAAGGCCACCCCACTGGAAAGGGAAAGGACTGGGTCTTCACTGCCAACTGACTACGTCCCAGTGCAGCCTCCTGCTCTTCCACCCCTGCTTCTGCTCCCTCTGCGGGCCGCGCAGCTCCAGGACTCGAGCCGTGCACTTGCCTGTGCGTGGGACACAGGGACGAGTCAGACACAGACCAGGGAAGGCTGGGCCTGCACAGGATGAACCCCAGGACAGATGCAGGTCTGAGTGGGCGTGGCCGAGGTAGAGGCCCGGGGAGCTCAGAGAAGGGGCCAGTACTCCATACACCAGGGTTGGGAATGAGCACAGGCTTCCCCCAGGTGGCCCTGAGGGGGGACAAGAGGACAAGGTTTAGAATGGAGAGAAGGGAGCTCCAGCTTGGGTGATGGAGTGGCTGGCAACAATCGCAGAGTAACGGAGCTAGGAGGCTCAGGAGGAAAAAGATCAGCTCAATGAGCTCACCTCAGGTATGGAGGGAGATAGGGTGGAGGGGCACTTGGGGTCAGTCTGAGAAGGACCTCGAATGTCAAATAAAGGAGTGGAACTTTTATCCTAGGCAGTGTGGAATCTTGGAAGGCTTTAGAGGGGGGGAAAGGAGTGCTCAGAGTCAGCCCTTCAGAGAGATAAACTGGCCACTGAACATCAAAACAAGCAAGTCCACACTGGACCAGAGGAAGCGAATGCTTCATTCCCACAGGGCATTCCACGGTGGGATAGCAGAAAGTACATGGGCTTTGGAACCAGAGAAGACCTGGGTTCAAATCCCAGCTCAGTTGTAGAGTTTTGAGCAAGTCGCCGTGCCGCCTCTGAGCCTCAGCTTCCCCTCTCTAAAAGGGCTGTCCTGATAGTACCTGCTTCACTCACAGGTGTTAAATGTCTGCCATGGACCAGGGTCCATGTGCTCAGTGCTCCCAGGGTTAGAAGGAGAATGAAGTGTTTGGCCCATAGTAGGCCCTCAGGTAATGGACATTCCCTTTTTTCTTGGTGGTCTAGACACTCGTTTTTCCTCTTCATTTTGCAATCAACACTAACCACATACAACTTTCTGGGCATCATGTGCCGGCTTTTGAATATGTGCCTTAAAGGAGGTTGGGGAAGAGACAACAGAGGGCCCAGTAAGTAGAGGGTCCCTCAGTTGGGGGGCGGGGTCCAGACCTTTGCGTTTGAAGGGAGGCCTCACCCACCCGGTAGCTTGGGTGGAGCTGGCACCAGCCAGCGTGCTGCATGTGTTAACATGTGTTCATGAGCTTGCACACAGAACTCCAGAAAGCCCGCACATGCATGAGCCCACACCTTCCATGTTTATTATGCCTAGGTGCATTATATATGCACATATTTATGCGGAGAAAAGCACACGCACGCACAAGCCAGGAAGCAGCACCCATCTGATCTCTCTCTCCCTCACCTTGACAACAGAAGCGGCATTTCCTGCTCTTCCTAGCACGTGGGAATGCCAGGCCAGCTCCTCGGGAGGAGGCTCTCAGACCTGGGGCTCCAGACAGACCTGGGCTGGGGACGCTGCTCTGCCACTAACTAGCCCTCTGTGACCAGGCTCGCTGAGCCTCAGTTTCCTCACCTGTAAAATGGGAGCAGTGACCGTACCTAGGAGAATTTGAGATGCTCGTGCAGGTAAAGCCCTCGCTCCGGGCTGCCACTCAGTCTTGCTCAGTAAATAAAATACGAGTGAACTGATGCCTTGTGTGGCAGGCGCTAGCCCTGTGGGAATGTCTTATTGGCCGTCGCTTGCCTGAACCTCTAGCCAGCCTGCCGCGCTGGGCCTGCCCTCTAGCCAGCCTGTGAGGTGGGTACTACCATCTCCTTTTCTTTTTTTTTTCTTTTTTAGGTTTTTGCTAAAGGTTGTGTGCTCTCACTGGAGAGAAACAGAGAGAAGAAAAGTGAGAAATCACCCTTCGGGAGGGTGGCCACGCCACATTACCTTCTCCTCCGTTCTCCTCCAGGAATTTTGGGCACACACAAGCACCAAATGTGATTTTCAAACTAGTGGGTCTGGGATTTGAACTGCAGTCAGCCTCATGGGAATCCAGTGCCTCAACCACCACACCAGCTGATGGCCCTGACCACCTATCTCCCTTTTATTTTTTGGCATCCTTTTGTATTTTATTTATTTATTTATTTATTTATTTATTTTTAAGGTTTTTGTCATAGGGTGCCTGCACTCATCAGAGAAAGACAGAGAGACACAGTGAGAGGGGAAAGTGAAAAGTCATCCCCCGGGGGATGGCCATGCCACAATTCCGTCACCCCAAAATTCCTTCCTGGGATTTTGGGTACATATGCGCACATGCCTGGCACGATTTTCAAGCCAACAGGTCCAGAATTCAAACCATAGTTGCCCATGTGGGAGTCCAGAGCCTTAACCACCATGCCACCTGCCGACCCCTCATCTCCATTTGTAAGAGAAGGAAACTGAACAACAGAGATGATGTGACTTGCCTAAGGTCACATGGCTAGATAGCAAACCTAGGCGGATGGGCAGAAGAGCTGCACTCCTAAGCACCATTCCCATGCCTCCCGAGCACACCAGCACGCGCGCGCGCGCGCACACACACACACACACACACACACACACACGCACACACACAGTGGCTGATACCCATCACCTCTCGCCCTCCCTACCACAACTGCCCCAGTTCCCCTGCAGCCCTTCAGATCCTGCCCAGCTGAAGAAGTAGGACCGCAAAATGTAAGCAGAACCTCCTAGGTCCACAGCTGTCTCTTGTCCTCAGACCACTGGCAGGCTCTGCTGTCCACATTCGGGGCCACCCACCCTCAGGCAGGCCACACGCTGGGTTGGGGGGGCTCTTGTGTACTCCCTGGCAGACATGTCTGAATAGTACTTAGAATAACAATAGTCCCCACTCACGGAGTAATTTTCCTGGAACTCAGCTAGGTCCCTTGAATGCAGCTCACCCTCTCAGCAGCGCTCGCTCGGGCAAGGTAGGCTGAGCATCTGTGTTTTGCAGAAAATTAAGGCTCAGGGATAGAAGTGACTTGTTGGGGACAACGTGGACCTATAATAGATCCAGGCCCAGGGCTGAGCGGCTGCCTCTTGAGCCTGCTCTCCAGCTGCACGCACAACGCACATACGCACTCACATATGCACGTCACCCCACCCCAACAAGGCCACACACAACTTACATGAGGTGCACAAGGTTCCTCCTCAGCCCCACGGTTCACAAGCTGATCCTTGCCACTCAGCAGCCCCTCCCTCCCACACCTTGCTGGCTCCCTAAGCTGGAACCAAAACACCTGGGTTCAACCGTCTGCGGTGACCCCCAGCCCTAAGTCTTCAACTGGTTAATGGCAGGTCCTGGTGGCCTCTGCTGCGTGGCCTTGGGAACAGCTGCCTACACTTAGGTTCCAGCCCCTCCTTCCCCCTCTAGGGAGGGAACAAAAGAAAAACTGGAAAGAAGTGGACTAGAGAGGAGAGAAATTGAGCACAGAGGGGAGAAGCAACAAGGCCTTGGTCCCCACCCCAAGCCCTACCTCGTGCCCAGTCCTAATCCAGGGATCAGGGGCCCTGGGCTGCCTGAAGCCCCTGGCCCTCTCCTGGACTCTGTCCTCCCACTGGCAGAATCAGGAGGCCCCTTCCAGCTAAGCTGACACCCAGTCTCTTTCTACCTTCTTTGATCTGAGCATCTCATAGGCCGGGTCGGGGGCCCAGGGGCCCTGAGGCTCCATGCATTGAACTAGAAAGAACTCTGCATATGGAGTCCCGAATTTGGGTACAAACTCCAATTCTGTGACAGACCCTGTGCATCTCCGGGCAGAGTCATTGCTAGCCCATTTGGCCCCTTCATGTAAATAAGCAAAACTCCCTCCCTGGGCCAGGACACATGGCTGGCAGAACACTGCCTAGAAGTCATCCTGCTTCCCCCTTGGGTTCAGTACCTTTGGGTGACTCAACCTGCACAACTGCACTTGGCAGTCCTGAGCTTGGCTAATTTTCTTCTGAGCCTCAGTGTCCTCATCTGAAAAATGGGGTGATGGCCTGGCAGGGACCTTGTCTGTCCCATTTGCTACTTTATCCCCAGGGCCTGGCACAGAGTTGCACAGGGCAGGCAATGTCAGTCCTTGGGGCATAAAGGAATGAGTGGGGAGAAGCAGTCTGCAAACTGTTCATGCATGGTAGGAGGAGGAATCCCAACCTGAGGCTGAATGTCCCCATGGGCGTTCGCCCAGGTCAGTGGGACCCAGGCTGCTCAGGGGCATGGAGGATGTGGGCTTAGCAGTTAGGGACGGGGGTGGGGTGGGGGGATTACACCAGGAATTCAGGAGACCAACTTGTAATGCCCACGTGCCCGGCCCTCTGCAGACCAACTTGTAATGCCCACATGCATGACCCTCTGCAGACCAACTTGCATTGCCCACATGCATGGCCCTCTGCAGACCAACTTCCATTGCCCACGTGCCCAGCCCTCTGCAACTTGCCCCATGCTTACCCTCCACTACAACAGGCACTAAATAGGAAAAGAACTAGGGCTGCCACTGCTTCTCTCACCACACCGCAGAGTGAGCTGGGTATGAATCACCCCTTTTCCAGATGAGAAAACAGAAGACAACTGACTTGACCAAGGTCTCAAGGTAGAATGTGGGTAGGGGGGTTAAAACCTAGCTCTGCCTCAGACCCGTGCAGTCTCATGGGTGTCATTATCTGCATATTCAGTAGATGGGGACGCTAAAGCCCGGAGTTTGGCAATGCAGCCAAGACTCTACTGAAAGGTCACCCAGGGCTTCAGGCCCTCAGCAGGCAGTGTTGGTGTCCTCTCCTTTCTGGGCCTCAGTTTTCCATTCTGGGAGGTGGAGGACGGGCTGGGCAGCCGGGTCGAGCCCTTCCCAAGCAGGCTGCTTTGTCCGCACTGCACGAAGCGCCTTTGCTTGGCGTTAGAGGCCTTTGTCTGCCAGGCAGCCCGACCGCACCCCCACCCGCCTTATCAGCGCCGGGAAGCAGCGGCCAGCGCTGCCGGGGCCTCTGTGGGCCGACGCCGCCCGAGACATGTGTTGGACACGGGCCTTTCAGGCCTGGAGCCGCGGCACAAAGGCCCGGGAAGAAGGCGGAACAAAGGGCTTTTTCACGCAGCAACTGAAAAGCCGTAGATTAGCTCGCGCGTGCTGCGCAGGCAGGCAGAAGCCGCAGCTGTGCCCCAGAACCCCTCGCCAGGGCATTCGCTCAGGTCTGGGGCTCCGGGAGAGCCTCCGAATGCCGCCCTCTCTCCTGCTCAGAATCATGCCCCCCACCCCCGTCCCCAGTAGGGGTGGAACTCGGAATTCTGTGGCCACGTGTTCTGTGCCCACCTCTCCCCAGTTCCTGGTTCTAGCGGAGAGCTGGTCCTGCTCTGTTGCCATCTCCTGAATAGTTCCCGTCGGCCCTACTTCTGCACCTTCTGTCCCCCTGCCCAGAATGCCACCTCCAGTCCCCTCCTCTGCCTTCAAGCCCAATTCTAGAGTCACCCCTCGTGCAAAGTGAGTCAACATGAGTGAATGCTAACTGTACCAGCTGCTTGGCCTCCTTCCAGCCCTTCCTCATGCTGCGGGTGCGAGTTATTAGCTCCATTGCCCAGCTGCGGGGACTGAGGCTCAGGGAGGCTGAGGGCTGCTCGTGTCACACTGGTGCAGCTGCGAGCCACACTCAGATGGCCCCACGCCGCCTCTGTCGGAAAATGCGCGTCCGAGGCAAGTGGGCCCCCTCTCGGGGTGGGAGATGCAGGCTCCGTGTTGCACTGAGACACCTTCAGTCAGGCCTGCCCTGCCCCCTCAGGTATGCCATTGACCGCGAATCGGATTTGGACCAGATCTTCGATATTGATGCGGACACGGGCGCCATCGTGACCGGCAAGGGGCTGGACCGCGAGACGGCCGGCTGGCACAACATCACCGTGCTGGCCATGGAGGCAGGTGAGCCAGGCGCCCACCCTAACGGTAAATATGGAGCGAGAAGCGAAGGTAGAGGGGCGGGGCGAGGGCTGGGACGGGGCCAGAACCAAGCTGTCCGTCAAAGCCCATGCAGGAGGAGCCAAAGGTGCTAGCCTGGTAAAGAGCAGAAAATTGGCAAAAAACGGGGGTGGGAGGAAGAAAGAGAAGGGCCCAACAGGTGGCGTAACGGTTAAGGTGCTGGATTCCCACGTGGCTGAATGAGGTTGGAGACCCGGATCTGGTGGTTCGAAAATCATGTCCGGCACGTGCATGCGTGCTCCAAATCCCAGGAGAATGGAAAATAGAGAAGGCCATTGCCTCTGAGGAGGTGATTTCTCACTTTCCCTCTCATGGCTTCTGTCTCCTTCCAGTGAGTGCACACTCCCTATGGCAAAAATCTCTCTAAAAATAAAAAATCCCACGGGAGTGAAGGGTGGCAAAAATCGACAGGTGGGTACAAAGATCCAGGCGGGGTCTGAAGCCCCTGGGATAAGGCTGATCTGGAGACTTGCTTTCTTCCCTTATCATTTTACTGAGTACCTGCTGTATGTCAAGCCTTGTCCTAGGGGCTGGGGAGCTAGACTGCAGCAAACTGGGAGAGGGGGAGTCCACACATGTCAGGTGACCCCGAGTGCTGAGAAAACAAGGAAAGGGGAACGGCAGGAAGAGGGACCTTGCTTCTCTTAGGGGAGGCCACGCTGACAGACAGCCAAGTCAACAAAGACCTCAGTAAAGTGAGGGGTCGCACTGACATCTGGGGACAGAGCATTCCAGGCAGAGGCTGCCAGGGCAGAGGCCCTGTGGTGACAGGTGGCCCAGGTGTTGGAGGAACAGCAGGGAGGCCGAGGTGGCTGCTGGGGACAGGTGCTCAGCCACCTTGGACTATAGTCCACATGGAAGGGAGTCCTGAAGGGTTTCCGACAGGTACCTTGGCCACTGCATTGAGAACAGTTGGCAGGAGGAGGCCTGAAGGAGGGCAGGGGCTGGGAGGGGGCAGGGTGCAGGGAGGGAGGTGCTGAGGGGGCAGCAGGGGCTTAGCTGGAAGCAAAAGGTGCTCGGCCAGTACTAGGCCAGTGGCTGGCCCAGGCAGTAGCAATGGAAGAGGTGACAGGGGTCTGCTTTGGGACACAGGTTGTTGGGCTGGAGAGGGTGTGAGAGGTGGACAGGATGAAGGCAAGGGCAACCCCAAGGTGCTTGGCCTGAGTTCTGGAAGAGGTGCTCGTGAGAGTGTCACGGGCAGTTTGGGAAGAGGTGTAAGCTGGAGGAGGCAGAAGAGGGTCCTGAGACCTGGGGTCCAGATGAGTAAGGCAGAGGGCGAAGAGCTCGGAGCACCAGGGAAGGGAACCTTGCAGTTCTGCAGCTGCCACCACCGCAGCCCGACCTGCTCTCCAAGCTGCCCTGCCCTGCGGGCTCTTCAGGTCTCCAGAGTCAGCGGGACCATGGGTTAAGCAATCAGGCCAACAGGACTGCAGTCAGGTCTCTGAGTTCCACCTGGTCCCTCCCTCCTGTCAGCCTTTCTCCCTGCCCCCACTGGCGGCTTCCTACTTCCCAGGCCCCGCCAGCCCATTCCGGGCTGAGGAAGTCCCTAGGCTGAAGTTCCCTTCGTCTCTTTCAACTGCGGTTTAAAAGAAAATACAAAGCTGGCTCAAACCTCAGTGCCTGCTGCTTGGGAGCCTTTGAATCCACTCCTCCGCGGCATGAAAGGGAGATAACAAAGGTGGCTGGAGAGGAAGTGGCGGCTGGACTGGGGGGGAAGAGTGCTCCCCCTCCTGCCTCCCTGAACCTGCTCCCAGGGCAGCGGTGGAGGCTCTGGGCTGCTGCAAACCAAGCAGAGAGATCCGACTGGGCTGCCGGGCAGAGACGCCTCCTCTCCAGACTCTCAGTGCACCCCCACCAGCCTGTCACCCCTCCCCGTCGCACCACCAGCAAGTGCCCTGGTGAGCTAGGCATGTGCTTCTGCCCAGTGGGTTTCTTTCAGAAAGCAGCCCAAAAAACCTAGAAAAGATAAGGCTGAGACTCACAGGAGAGGGGGTGGAGGTGCGAGCACTCATCCACAAACATTTTACCGTTTTCACTTAATACATATTCTGGGCGAGACTCGGCCTGTGCATGTTATTTTCTAGCACAACCTGTTACTGACTCAACAACCAGTGCCTGATCAGCACCCATTTTGCTGATGGAGGAATTGAGACTTGGGAGATTTACAGGAGGATGTGCAGGGGACGGGCTGGGATTTGGATCATAACTCGGGGGTAGGGGGTGGGACTCCCTTTTCCTGGTGCTCTCCACTCTCTGAGCCCCTCCCCTACCTAGCTCACCAAACCCCTGCAGCCGCCTTTGGGGAAAATCAATCATTAAGAGAAGGAGACCGAGGCCAGCAGGTGGCGTGATAGTTCAGGTGCTGGATCCCACATGGCTGGCTGTCTCTGAGGTTTGAGTCTCAGACCCAGGAGCTTGAAAAACATGTGGGAGGCCTATGCATATGTGCCCAAAACCCTGAGAGGAGAATGGAGAAGGGATTGCATTATGGCCATCTTCTCAGAGAGGTGATTTCTCCCTTTCCCCCTCTCTCTGTCTCTCTTTCTTTCTGACAAGTACATGCCCTATGGCAAAAGTCTTTAAAATTTTTGTTGTTGTTTTTTAATCTTAAAAAGAGAGAAGACTGGCCACTGAGCTGGAGACTAGACTCCCTTGCGCACCCCTTCATTGGAGATACTAATCGATGAGAAAACAAAAGGTTCCATTTCACAAGGCTGGTGGGAGAATTAAACAGAGTAACGCGTGGAAAGCACTTGAGCTAGCTGGTACTTAGTAAGTGCTCAGTTAACGGTCTCTGTTCCTTTTGACTGTGTTCACTCCTCCTAAGCACTGACCGTGTCAGACCCTTTGCAGTGATGAGCTCATTGAATCTTCATACCTAAGAGGTGCCAGTTCTGGGGCCAGGTCCATGGCCTGGTGGTTAAGGCAGCCAGATTTCATATGGATGACCATGAGGTTCAAATCCTGTCCCTGGTGACTTAAAAGACATGCCCAGTAAGTGTGTGTTTGTGCCCACAATCCCAACAGGATAGAGAAACGGAGGAGAAGGGATTGCAGTGTGACCATGCCCTATGGGGGGAGGGGGTGCTTTCTCTCTACCCCTCTGTTCCTGTCAATCTCCCTGTGACAAATTAAAAAAAGAAAAGGAAAAAAAAAAAAAGTCAGTTCTACAGTGGCGCCCAGTGTGTGGATGAGGAAACGGAGACTCCAACAGGTGAAGCCATTTGTCCAAACCCCCAGCCTCAGCCCAGCCCATCTCTCAAGTCCTTGGTACTGGCCCAAACCCAGAAGCTGTCCCAGATAACCCTCCCGCCCTGCCTTCTTACCATCTTCCTGAGATGAGGACAAAATTGTTAGCCCCTTCTGCAGAAGAGGGAGCAGAGGCTCAGGAAGGGCTGGCAATGGCCCCAAGATCACAGAACAAGTCCATGCAGGGCCGGGGCTCGACCCCAGACCACCCACCTCCCAGCCCGAGCCCCACGTGCAATGCTAGCAGGTCTGCCCACTGGCCCTGTGCCCTTCTTCAGAAGCAAACATTTGCCTTCCTCAGAAATGGAGGAGATGCCCAGGAGGTCACAGCAGCCCCACCTGCTCGCAAGCGTAACAAACACGAGGTGACAAGAATCAGAGGGGAAATATTTATACACAGCGCGGGGCTTTGTGAGCACCTCAGAGAATGTTGCACTCAGCCCGAGCCGCTGGCTGTCATGCCGGATTACCTCAAAGACTCTCCAGCCACTTAGTATGCCGGCTCCCCTCTCCCCGAACTTCTGAGTCATCCATTCTGCCCGTGCAGACGCTCCCTCCACTGACATTATCTTTAACGTTTTGTAATCATGAAATATTAATGACCGATATTGAATTTAAAGTACAATTTGTGTCTGAATCCTTTGGTGGAAAGGGCAGTTGTAAAGGGACAGTCTTCAAAGAGCAGAGGTGGGGGGAGACTTGGAAAGGCGATTCTAGTGGGGGGTGTACCCGGGGGCTGCAGCTAACTGTCTTTTCCAGGGTCATCAGGCCCTAAGCTGTCCAGGACAGCAAACGGTTAACCAGATGCACTAGAAGCGTCCAGTCTGGATCACCCTGGGCTGACTCCTGTCTTACAGCACCCTGGCTTTCCGGCATACTACAGAGCACCTCAGTGCTTTCTATACGCATTTGCGTGGGCATCCCTCTTCCCAGTGACTTCCTTGAGGGCAGGGGTTGGTCTGTATCTGCAGCATTTATGCTGGTGGGGCACAGAGTAGGGATGTCTAAGTATTTCCTGAATGGACAAACAGATGGGCTTGGCACCCAGCTAGCAAAGCAGGGTTCCGGAAGGAGACCTGGTACTGTGCACGGTTCCCAGCAGGGAGGGCTTAGGCAGGTCACTGAGCCACTTGTTGCCTTGGTCATCTTATCTATAAAATGATGCCTATAGGGCCAACAGGTGCTATGGAGGTTAAGGCAGTTGGATCTCACATGGCCAAATGCCAGTTCGAGTCCCAGACCCGGTGGCTTGAAAATCATGCTGGGTGTGTGCGTGCATGCCCAAAATCCCGGGGGGGGGGGCGGGAGGGGGGAGG